TTTTTTTTTTTTTTTTTTTTTTTTTTTACTTTATACAAATGCTATCAGCTGAAACTTTATTGGTTATTTGATAGTAGATAATGATATATATTGTGAGAATACAACTAGTCACATATACAACTTTAGATTGTCTATTTAAGTAGTTTGTCTAAAGGTTCTACACTAGTTGCAATACCTGAAATCTATTTGAAGATTCCCTATTTAAACCCTTTGGCTCTATGACTTACTCATTTCTATCTATTTATACCAAGCTAGCCTAATCCTGTGCTACTTTCTCCAAGAAGACACCCAAGCTGACATATGTTTACAAACTTTATGATTTAAAGTCTAACAAATAAAATTTTTTTTTTTTTTTTTATTTTTTTTAAAAAAAAAAAAAAAAATTATCAAATAAAGTACAATATATTACCCCATCCACATTGACTTTTAAATATATCTATTTTTGTAAAGTCCGTGCCCTTACAAAAAAAAACCTTAAACACTGTTTGTTGTTTGAAGTATGATAATTCTTAGATACACGAAACTATATACTCACTTATTAAAGTATATTTTTAGGTATTTACTCTCCTTGTATTACAATAATAGGTATGACAACTTAATTATGTTACAAATCATAAAAGCAAAAAAAAATAAAACTATTTCAAGATCAAATAAATATTTAATCAGATCAAAAATTACTTTAAAATTAAACCTTGGTCAGGGCCATTACTACGTATGGTCAATTTAAATGTTTTTGGGGGTATGTGGCGCATTTTAATTTTTAACTATTTTATTCAAAAAAAAAAAAAAACAAATAACGATAACTTTTTTTTTTTTTTTTCCTCCCTTTCTTTTTTTGTACGTGGAGTCATCACGAGTAAAACTCGGGTCGGTGCTACAAAGCAAATACTTTGTATTCGTCGTCGTTTTAACTTTTCTCGTGACACATGGTTCAAAATTTTCTTAATGAATTGCCTGATTAGGCAATTCTAATACCAATGTGTACGTATGCTCAGTACGTATCATCCATATCATCCATGTGACCCAAGTATTAGTTATTAATTATTAGCATTATGCATTACATTATTAGCATTATTAAATATGCGCGCAATTATTTCTTAGAAACACTGAATGATATTTCAAACTTATGTGATGCAGAAGCAGTGTCAATGCTCCTAATATCTAGTTAATATGCGTCTCTCACTCTCTAATCATTATACTAATCTCTAGTTAATATGCACCTCTCAATCTCTAGTCATTATACACCTCTCAATCTAGTCAATATCAGATATGTACATCTCTCAATTTCTAGTTAATATACATGCATACAAGAATGAGGTACACGTGTAAACTAGATCCTAATTCTAAAACAACTATTCTAGAAAATTTTTAATATATTTTAATAAACATTAGTTACACCAATTCGTCAATCGATTTTTCATTCGACCTGTCGAATTGAAATCATTTACATAAACTAGAAATGCTTATGATCAAAAATATTAGCCCTACAGTTGTACAGCCAATTATATGTCGTTAAAGAAAAATGCATCAAGCTGGTTTTAATAAAGTAAAAATACGCTTTGAATCGATTTACTTAATCTTTTTTTTTTTTTTTCTTTTCTTTTTTATCGGCAACATTGTTCGTATTCATCTTCTACCGTATCCACAATCTCGACATCATCTTCTGCTTGAGATAGATGTGTCCATAATAATATTTTATTTCCTAAAATATATTACAATAAGAATTAATATAATTAATAATAGTAGAAACTACATAGTAATTTTTTATTATAAATCTTTTTGATCTATACCGTTAAAGTCCAATCGCTCTTCACTCGTAACTTCCTCAGTGTGAAACATCCAGAGGTGTCCATTATTACAAGCATCCATGCATTGTTGACATGGTTGAGTGATATGATATCCAAGAACATTTCCACTATTATTAATAAATCGTTTTTTTTATGTTAAATTTATTCTTTCAGAAAAATAAAAAAATATTCCGAATTTAAATAAGGCCACATAAAGGTATAATTACTTGGTTTTCATAACATAAAATTTTAATTTTTTTATATAAAAATTTTTATAATTTTTTTTTTTTTTTTTTTTTTTTACCCGGTTATTAAAATTATATCAAAAAAAAATTTTTTTTTTAAATTTTCAAGCTTTAACCCGGTCGAGTTATGAAAAACCAATTAATTAATTTTATATTATGGCCTAAATCCGAAATTTAAATAAAAAAATTTTCATTAAAGTCTTATAATTACCAAGTCAGGCATGCCACATCTCGGATTTTACAATGGCAATTTTGTGTTAAATAGTCTTCGCCAACCAATTGTACCCTATTCAAAAAAATAAAAATAAAATAAAATAAATATATATATATATATATTAGATATTTTTTTATATATAATTATATAAATAAATTTTTAACGCATACTTACGATAATGGCGGTACATCTGTAGAGTAAAGTTCAACTCTAGTATCTGCTAGAAGCATAGCCTAAATAATTAACAAATATTTATCACCAAATATACTCTGTAAAATTACCCATCTTATCTATTTCACTATTTTATACTCACTGATCATTATTCAACAATTCATACGATCGCTTACCTTCATCCCCCTCACGCATACTCTTGACTCACAATATGTACAATTTAATTTACAAACTGCTTTACTTCTAGTACGTATACTTTGTTCATCGTCTTGCAATTGTGAATTTGTTGTGGAAGACGTTGAGGAATTTATTTGTGTTGTTGTAGAGATTATTGAGGTATTATTTTCGTTAGTGTCTTGACTGCCGCTACTGTCATTACTACTATTCACTCCTGCTTGTACCATTCGATTAAATAACAAATTTCTTTCTCTATAATTCCTTTGTATATGGTGTAACCTTCGTACCCACCGAGTAGAAGACGACGATGAGATAGATGTAGAAATTGGTGAAGGGAGTACAGCGGTAGCGGCAAAAGTGAAAATAGGTGACGGCGCCAGGGTTGAGGAAGCTAGTGGTGCCAGCTTGTTTATTAATTCGTTCAATTGCAAGTTCTATTTTTTTCCCTTTATTTCTTCTATTTTTATAACTCTACCTTGCGCATTTTTTTAACGTGAAAAAAAAAAAATTTAAAAAAAAGAAGCAATAAAAACCTTTTACGTAACAACTATCTTACCGCAGTTTCAACGGTTTAGAGTAACCGAATAATTTATAACCGGTTAGGTTCAGATACCATCTATATCAGATATCAGTTTCGAGTTTTCTTTTTTTTTATGATAGTTGGCCAATCATCAACATTCTCTATAAATCTATATACTAATTACTAACGCTAACGCTAATAAAGTTAAAATTAGTTATAACAAAGTTTACTACAACTTAGCGGCTTTAATTTATTGTAAAAATAGGCCGATGAAAAATCACGGAATAGACTTTAATCGTATTTAAAATTTTTGACCTGAATTTAGGATCTGCAATCATCGACTTTATATAATTTTGGCCAAATTGTAGAATTTTGCAGAATTCACGGACGTAATTAGAACTAGAGTAAAATCGCCACCTAATAATCATGTGGTATTGTGTAATATATTCCTATCGTAACTAGCTCATAGACCTAGGCATTGCTTCGGAAGCTAGTTTCTAATTTTTTTGGTTTTTGATTTTTAATTTTATTTAGTTTATAGACCTAGACATTACTTTTTTTTTTTTTTTAATTTCTTTACTACTATAGCAGTTAGAGGCGTAGTTGGCGCTCTAACCTAGGCATTACTTCAAATTTTACTTCTTAATCCAAAGTTAATATTCCTATTTTTAAAGCTATTTCTTGAAATATTGTATATATATATTTTTTTAAATTATTATTAAGAGCTAATTCTAAGGTTTCAAATTCTAAGAAAAGTTTATCTAAGTTACTAAGTAGTTTCTCATCTTGTTTAAAATAGGTTAAAAAATTTAAAAAGGTAGTTAAAGTAGTAGGCTATTTACTATTTATATAGAAAAATTGTTCTTGATATAGATATTTTATCTGTTAATAGAATCTTTTAAAACTATTAATCTTATTTTAAAAGATTTTAATAGTCTAAGTCTAATGTTTGAAGGTCTTAGCTTAGGCTTAAAGAAGAGCAATAATTTGGGTCTATTGTTCAACTTGTTATTGCAAAAGTTTAATAAGTTTACTTTAATTAAGTTCAGATTAAACTTGAAGTTAAAGAAGTAATTTAGGTTAAGCAAGAAGGACTTCAAGTTGAGGTTCTACTTTTAGTTCTAGTTGAGATTCAGAATTTAATTTCTCATAGCATTTTTAGTTTTTTGTTTAAACATAAAGTAATTTTTACAAAAGACTATTTTGTTATTAAAATTTCTTTGAAAATTTTCTAATACTTTATAATAGTCAAATTCAAGGTAAGTTTAGTTAAAAGATTTTTGTAAGATTTGATTTAAAATTTCTTATTTGGTTTCTTTTTTTTTTTTTGTTGTTAAAGCAGTTTATATTGCTAAAAGAATTTTATTAGAGTTGTCAACAAGATTATATATTGATAATTCCTACTGTTTGTAATTATATGAAGAGTATATAACAAGCTACATGTATAACTTTAGTTATT